TACTACTACTACTACTACTACTACTACTACTACTACTACTACTACGACTACTACTACTACTACTACTACTACTACTACTCGGCATCTCGAGTCCTTCCTCACCAGGCGCGGGGCAGACCAGAACATTGGAAGCTCGCCAGGCGCCTCCTGCGCACTCTGCACCGTGTAGGATTAGGTCGGGTATGTCCCCTCACATGCTGATCTTGGAGGAAGATTCAAACATAGCCAAACTAATAACAAATGAAGCCAAAAAGAATCAGGAAAATCGTCACCTGTCTGCTTCCTGACTATTCTTGAACATTCCTCCGGTAGAGGGGCACGCCCGACTCACAGATAGGACTCGGCTTCGGGGGACTCGGGTGTGGGCGGCGAGCGAGGGAGGGGAAGTGAGATACAGAAGGCCTTCTCAGGGGGCGGCGGGACTTCTCAGAAGCCCTCGCGCCCTCTCGCCCTCTGAGAGGTGTCCTTTGTCATCGGGGAAGGCCTAGGAAACTTGTCAGTACGCCGGGGGCCTTCCGAGCCTGCTGAGAAGGCCTTCTCCTTCTGACTTCCCCCCCTCGCTCGCCGCCGATCGTCGGGGAGACGTAGGACTCGGGTTCGGGGAACTCGGGTTGGCCTGACGGGCCGTCAGGAAAACGACTAGGCCCAGCCTGAAATTTGACCCGAGCTCTCGCTGCAGACTTTCCAGAAACATTGGACCATCAAAATCCAGGATGGGCTCGTCATGTAGCGTCGGCAACCCCGAGCTATGGCACATTCGAGTCGTACGCCAGGTTCGCGCGGAGATAGCGTCGGTGATGGTCTCTGACAACCCATGGATCGTTCCACCTCCAACGATCGTGGCTTCCCGATAGCACAGATCGCTCGTCATCGGCCGGCTCTGGGGCACCGGCGGCGTTCAAGCTTGAACACCTGGGCTGGCGTCGCCGCTGCGTTAACGGCGCGAACCTGTTGGGTCTCAAGCTCGGATGCGCGAGCAGGCAAGCAATGCGACTAGACACCTGCAGCGGGAAGCGTCGAGAGTCGGGAAGGCCCGATCTGGCATCGACAACTCGAAACGCATCCCTCCTCGGCATCGAGGGGGACCAGACAAGCCAAGAGTAGAAATTCATCACGCTGGTGCTGTCAATGCTGCTGCTCCAGAAACCGCTGTTCTATCCATAATGCTGATGCCGCTACTTCTGTAACATCTGCTCTGGTGACTGTGGCTGCCGATGTATGATGCTGCGGATGCGTGCTGCGAATGCCGCACATGACGGTGCACCCGGTGTCCATGCAAATGCTGTTCGCACTCGCGCTACTGCAACTGATGCAAATGACTTTGTCACAACCACGGGTACAGCATGCTGCTGAGACGAATGCAAATGCTAGGGATGGGTGCCCATGAACTGGCTGCTACCGCGGACACGCAATGATGCTACTACTGCTGCTACCGCTCGTGCTTCGTCTTCTTTTTTCCCGAAGCAGCATCGAATCACACCCGAGGTGCGCTGAATGTGAGCTGTAGGCAGCCTCGGGCACGACTCAACATCTTGAAAATCATCCGGAAGAGCTCAGCCTCTCTGCCGGAAACTTGAGCTGCGCAACAGCCGTGGCCGCCCTTCTGGCGGCGGAGGGAGTCGAATACCTTCCAGGGCGCCTCTGCCAGCAGGTTTGCACCACTGGCCTGTACGAATTCGACGCCCAAGAATGGAGGAGGCGCGTACGAGGTCACACGTCGGCACGGGCGCGTATCATCTCGCGGTCGCGGGGTGGCACTGCAAACACGGCAACCTCAATCCGCGAGACTGCTCTAGTACGGAGGACCCTCCGGGTGGGCTTTCAGCCAGAAGCCATCCCCTCCTGTGGTGTCCTGGAACTGCGCATCGCTGCTGTCCTTCTTCCCGATGAGCCACCCGTGGATGTAGTCGTCGCCAGCGTTCTTCTTCACGAATTTGTAGACCCGCAGCTGGGGTGGGACCATGGGGCTCTGTGTGTGCGGGTCATAGCTCCCTGGGACCCTGTTCACGAGGTCGAAGGGCTCGTTGTCGTAGTAGCAATTGATGCCGTAAGTCTCGTCCCCGAACGGCAGGCCGTTCTGCCAATTCGCGTCCACGCCCCAATATGCTGAGAAATCCGCATTGTACGGGCCGTTGCAAACCCAGGGGTAAGTGATCACGAAGGCCGTTGCTGCGTCATTCGAATCGCAACCGTAATCTCTCGTGGATTTCAGACCGCTCGCTTGCAGGGTCCCAAACCACGGCTTGTTGGCCAACTCGTCTGGCCACAGCGCCCCACATGTGGTCCACATACCAGACCAATACTTGTAGATCTGGGAGCTGCCAGGGTGCACGAAGGGAGATTCCCAATGCTGGCACCAACACGCATCCATGATCCATGGGTCCTGGCAGTCACCCGGGGAGTACTGTGAACAGTCATACGGTTCCTGCCACTGCTGCGTGCCCATGAAGTGCTCCAGGTAGAAGGAGGAGTGGTCGACATCGTTCATCATGCCGGCGCCGTCGCAGCCGTGGACCACCCAGTAGTCGTCGGCACCGTCACCCTGCCAGACCAGGGCCTGCCGATTCGTGCTCGGATTCAGCGCGAGGTTGAACATGTCGCTGCTCTGGCACCAGCTACCCTGATCGTAGCCATCGCCCTTCGCGGGGTAGGCCGTGCAGGAGAGCTGAGCCGCGCCAGAGGTCTGGTCGTCGCCGCCGCAGTACTCGAAGGAGGCAGCCGCCAGGGCCGAGCCCCGCACGAAGGCCGGGAGGGCGGCGACGCAGGCAGTCCGTCGGCTGCAGCGAGGCATCCCAGCAAACGCCTGGCTGTCGATCGCAGGGGGCGTCGCTGCGGGTAGTACTTATATCCATATCCAGAGCGGCGTGGACTTTTTGGGAAGAGGTGCCGCAACGCCGAGGCGCACTGGATATGGATAAAATCAAGCCTCTTGGGGCCAGATTTTTATCCATATCCAGTGCGTCTACGGTTTCTGGGGAAGAGAGCCCAAGAATCCAAGACGCACTGGATGTGGATATAACTATTGCCCGCAGTCGCTGCAAGGTAAGGGGATGCGGAGCCTGTACAGGGTCGTGGGCCAGAACTGCTACGGCCTCCTGCCACTGGTGCTCCCGATCGGAGCATGCAACACGCTCCGCGGTCACAACGGCCAACACTATCACATAGTCAAGAGCACTGCTGCAACTGCTACTGTCGACCCGTATAACAAAAATGCACGATAAGGATGCAGGGGCCTTGGAAGGCCGTGTCGAAGCTTCTCGAGCGGGGCGAGGCCAACGAAAGTGGCCAAGGATGGGCCGAGGAGGCAAGGACGCAAGGATAGCCTTGGGATAGCTGCCCACCCTTACTGTGCACGCTGCTCGTACCAGCACCAGCGCTGCCGGCCGCAATGGATCCAAAAAGGGCCTCGAAAGGCGGGCCAGGATAAGCACTCGAGTATCGCTTAACCGATCCCCGTCCACCAGCGGCGTGGCCCGGGCCCCACTGGCCGACTTACCCCCCTAGATGGGGATGTGGGCCGTCCCCTTCTGGGGCGTGTCCCTAACTGGGGTGGTAATTTGGTGGGGGTCTCGAAGGGGATGGGGCTGCCCCCCCACTTCCCACAGCTTCTTTCCCATTTTCTTGGGAGGACCGACGACTCATTGTGTCTGTGTGTTTTTCCCTCCTGAGACTTGAGCAGGGACCGTCCCGGCATTCCTATAGTCCTACCACGAAATGCTGTTAGAACCCCAAAATGTTCTAAGAACAAAAACGATGTTCTTAGAACATAAACCCGATGTGGTAACACAAGACAGTCCCAGCCAGAAATGTTCTAAGAACATGTCGTGGGAACCCCAAAAAGTTCTTAGAACACTGTTTGGTGGGGCCATGGGCGAGCCGGGACGCTTCGCCACTGCTTGAGAGACGAGCACTGGCAACATCCAAACGGCCGCCCTCCCTGCACGAGGCCGAACCAAGTCCCGGTGGACACGGGGCCCGGCCCCGCGGGCGGGTGGCACGGCGGGGTGGCCTCGGTGTGGGTGGCGAAGGCGACGGCCCCGAATGGGGCCCTTTTACATCGTTGATGACCCTTGGGTTTCCACTGGTCCTCCTCCTCCTCCTCCTCCTCTTCCTCATCCTCCTCCTCCTCTCCAGCCTGTGGTCGTCGATCCTCCGCCTCGCCTGGTCGCCGTCGATCTCCTCCTCTCCCCGCCCCGTCGGCGGCGGGTGCGGCGGCCCTGGCGGGCCTGGCTCTGCACCCTCTGGGGGGCCCCGGCTGGCTCCCAAAGGGGCCGTGAAGGGCCCCCTGTGGAGGGCAATGCTTCCCCAACCCTCCTGTGGTAGTGGGTCCTCGTTTCGAAGAGACAGCGCCTCGCGTCTCCCTCCATCCTCCCTCCTTCCTCGTCGTCATCGTCATTGTCATCGTCATCGTCATCGTCATCGTCATCGTCATCGTCATCATCATCATCATCATCATCATCATCATCATCATCATCATCATCATGATCATGATCATCATGATCATCATCATCATCATCATCATCAGCATCATCATCATCAGCATCATCAGCATCATCATCATCGGCATCATCATCGTCAGCATCAGCATGATGATCATCATTGTCATCAGGATCAGGATCATCATCATCATCATCATCAGCATCATCATCATCGTCATCAACATCGTCATCGTCATCATCATCATCAGCAGCATCATCATTATCACAATCCTCATCATCATCATCATCATCATCATCATCAGCATCAAAATCATCGTCATCGTCATCGTCATCACCACTACCACCAGCAGCAGCATCAGCAGCAATAGCATCAGCATCAGCAGCAGCATCAACGTCAGCACTGACACCACATCGCAATCATAGACGTCATCATCAACATCATCGTCGTTCTAATCGCAAACACATCCCTCACTTGTTTCGTGGCCCCATGGGAGCTCCACCGGAGGCCCCAGTGGCGCAGCCCGCATGCGCCAGCAGCCACACAGTTCGGCACAACCATCACACGCTTCGTGGCCCAGTAGGGAGCTCCACCGAAGGCCCCCATGGCGCATCCCGCATGCGTCCAAACCACCCATTTCGGCACAACAATCACACGCTTCGTTGCCCCATGGGGAGCTCCACCGAAGGCCCCAGTGGCGCAACCCGCACGTGTTCCAGCCGCCAACTTCGGCGCAACCCTCACACGCTTCGTGGCCCCATAGGGAGCTCCACCGAAAGTCCCAGAGGCGCAACCCGCACGCGTCCCAGCCACGCATCCCGGCACAACCATCACACGCCTCGTGGCCCCCTCAGGGAGCTTCACCGAAGGCCCCAATGGCGCAGCCCGCATGCGTCCCTTCCGCCCATTTCGGCACACCCCTCACACGTTTCGTGGCCCCATGGGGAGCTCCACCGAAGGTCCCAATGCCGCAACCCGCATGCGTCCCAGCCACCCATTCCGGCACAACCATCACACGCTTCGTGGCCCCGTAGGGAGCTCCACCGAAGGCCCCCCAAACCACCCATGTCGGCATACCCCGCACACGCTTCGTGGCCCCATAGTGAGCTCCACCGAAAGTCCCAATGGCGCAACCCGCCTGCGTCCCAGCCCTTCATTTCGGCACACGCCCCTCGCACGCTTCGTGGCCCCAAAAGGATCACACCCCCGTTGGCCGCGCCCGCATGGCGGCCCCGCCCCGCTTCGGCACGTCCTTCACGCGCTTCGTGGCCTACGGAGGAGATCCACCGAAGGTGACACTCATCACGACGGTACTGACAACTGCATATGGTTGGGTCCTTCGCCAGGCTGTGCTTCACCCCCATTTAGATCACCCATTTAGGTCACCCCATTCAGGTGAGCGGATCTTTCCCCGTCGTCTTCCTAGCCGCTGTAATTGTGGCGGTTAGTCACCCGTGCTTCGAATGGTTCGTGTGGCGTTTGGCCACATTACTTTTCCTGCCAACGCGTCCACCTGGACGCAAAACTTTCTTGCTTGCCCGCATATCACTCGCCCGAAAGCCCTGGTGGAAACGGGCCCTGGTCCCCGGAAACATCGCCCTGGCACCAGTCCCTCCTCCCGCCCTCTCTTGCCATCGCTCGGACGTCCATTTCCCGTGCGTTGTTCGTTTCGTGCGTGGTGTTCACGCCACATGGTCCAAGATGCTCCAAAATGGTCCTCGCCGAACAAAACGAAAGCACGCCCGAACGATGCCAAGGTTCACGGGAGCCCGACAGCGGCGAGAAACCGACAGGGCCTGACACCGGCTGTCTTCCAGGGTGAGGCGCAGCGAAAGGAGGGGATGCGTCGACCTGGACTCGGCGATACGTGGTCGCTAGCTCCGCGATAGGCCCCCGATAGCGAAACCGCACCTTCCTGGGCGGGGTGGGGATCTCGGGCTCCTATCGGCGATCAATGGGCGATTGCAGGGGAACGAAAAATGGCATAAACATAAAAACTCGGAGGTCCGCGCAGATTCCTTGGATCCGCGCTGGACCCCCCTCCCTGGCGCGCGGAGCGCGCCAGGGGCGTCGCCGGAGGCGCCGCCAAGGCTTAGAAAACTGCTCAGAAGGCCAGGGGACTTCCCAGCCTTCTGAGAAGGCCCGGCCCGTCTCACTTCCCTCCCTCGCTCGCCGCGGAACAATGCCCAACAACAAACGTTGTCCCAAATCAAAAGCGGCCTTCTGTCTCGAATGGACACCGTTCGCGGCGACACCGACAACGAGTCCTGTTCAAAACGAGCAGGAACTGCTGCTGGGCTTCGTATCCATACTTTCCGTAGCCACTTCGATCGTCCCGAGAGTTGGCTCGCCCGACACGGGTATGGGAAGAACAGCCACGATTGATGAGCCTGTATTCCACCACCATCACCATAAGTTGGAGGGGGACGGAGGAGGAGGAGGAGGAGCAGGACGAGGAGGAGGAGGAGGAGGAGGAGGAGGAAGACCCCCTCCTCCAACTTATGGTGGTGGTGGAAAACACGCCCATCAGCGATGCCAAGCAGCAAATGCCCTCCAAGTCCGACATTGGCCGCCGATGGGCCGGCGGCTGCTGTCCCGTCCGGCGGACACGGAGCCCGGTGCATTCCCAGACGCCTCCCGGCGGGGCGCCACTGCTGGAGGGCACCCCGCGGCGGGGGGGGGGGCCGCGACGGCGCCCGAGAGCATCCCGAGGAGCTCCCCTCGCCTCGGCCACTTCCTCCTCCTCCTCCTCCCCCCCCATCTCCTCCTCCTCCTCCTCCTCCTCCTCCTCCTCCTCCTCCTCCTCCTTCTCCCTCCTCCTCCTCCTCCTCCTCCTCCTCCTCCCCCCCCATCTCCTCCTCCTACTCCTCCTCCTCCTCCTCCTCCTCCTCCTCCGCCCTCCTCCTCCCTCCGACGACGAGGCGCGTTCTTCAACGGCACGGGCCCGACCCCTCCTGGGGGGCAGCTCTTTTCACCATCCCCAGAGCCACTTCTGGTGGCCCCCAGGGCCCGATGACGGGCTCCGTGGCGCCAGAACATGATGGAATAACTTCGTGCTCAGAGAAGGAGAAAAGAGGAAAGACATAAACTCGTGGAGAAACGTTGCGCTTAGAAGAAACAACAAGCACATCATAAACATCATGGTTTGGCGCTCCGCGCGGACTTCTTGGATCTGCGCTGGACGCGCCAGGGGCGCCGCGGGAGGCGCCGCCGGGGGGAGCCCAGCGCGGACCCAAGAGATCCGCTCGGAGCGTCAACAAAATGACATTGATGCCGGTTGTTCTTCTCCGCGTGCTTGTGTTCCGCTTCGGCTGGCCTTGTCGTGAAGCCTCTCCTTCTGTCCCCCCCTCTCTG